TCCGGGAGGGAGGGTGAGAATTACTCTTGGAAAGCAACATAAACAAGGCCAAATGCATGTTCTCTACCAATCAGATTCACACAGAACAGAGCCCGCTCCTGCCTACAGGCCCCTTCTGCTGGGACTGTTCAATCTAGGGAGGGTTGGGGCCCACTGGAGAGGACAGAATCCACACACTTCCAGAGCCCACTCGCGTGTGCGAGTTACACACTGCCCCCACTTCCGCAGCCAGGAAACCCTGTCACACGACCATCCTGCACACCGTGAAGGCGTGAAGGAGAGGAACCGAGATGGGCCTGAAGACAGAGGGAGATTTCACTGTGTAGATTGGGGGTCAGATTTGGATACCTTCAGGACCGAGTGAGGTAGGGTGAGCGTGCATTCTGTAACACACAGGCCGTCACTTGTTGGCCAATGAGACAGGCACGTGTATTCTCCAGCATGCACACACGTGTGCACACGTGCACACACACCGCACACACACGTGCTCTTCTGTTTTTTCTTGAAATCTGAAACTCTGTGGAAATATTATTAGTTACTCCACATACTACTATGGAGACACTGATAAAAACAACTTTTTCCATTTTCTCCTAATTCTACTACGAGAAACAGCAACCGGCACTTGGTGTGGGAAGACTTCGTGGAGAAGTGGCAAACTGCCCAGAATGACCCACTCCAAAAGTGAGCACTCAGTCCCCAAAGGACCAATAGCATCCGTTCTCCCTGACCTGTGACAGCTAACAGAGAACCTAAAAGGTAACCTGTAGAAGTGAAATGGACACTTGGAGAAGCAATGACTTTGAGCAGCCCTTCTCTCAACTGTTGAGAAACAGGTTTTTTCCCCAAACTATTTGTTGAATTCTTAACACAGAGTTAATCAATGTGTATAAAGTTAACTGAAATACATCTTAGTAAAAATAAGAAAGGGAATAGGAGAGGGAGAAAGTAGAGGTTGGGAGAATGGGTGGGAGATCAGGTATGGTGGTGGGAAGAATCACTATGTTCCTAAAGCTGTGATTATGAAATGTATGAAAGTTTGTATTCCTTAACTAAAAGGTTTCTGGGGAAAAAAAAAGGCTAGCACCTGTTACAGCTCCAACTATCTGCTGCCCCCACTGAGAACGCAGAACCAATGCTTCTAGATGAACTATATTTTTCAAGAAAACACTGAAAGCCCGGCATTATATAAAATTTTCAGTTTTTAAGTGTAGGCAACTGATTTAAATTTCCTTAAACACACTCATCAGGACATATTTTTTTTCCACTCAAAACCCGAGGTCATCCACAGCCCAAAACCAGCAGAAGCTCATTAGTTTGCAATTTCTGATGCAAACAACAAAACACACCCAGGAACATTTTCAATTAAAAAGCATTTTAAAGCAAACCACTCAGCAGTGCCAACATCCAGACTTCCACAGTTAACTCCTGCCTCTAGGGGCAGGCACCTCCCACTGCTAATTTGGCCATGGCAACCAGGTGCACAGGCCTCTGATTTTGGAGAGGGGCCGTTTAGACATAAGGAGCACCATCGAGACCACAGAGCCACACCATCGCTCCTGTGGTGCATGGTGCAAGCCACTCTCCGGAGCTCCGCACCTGCGGCCGACCACCAGCCTGCAAACGCCACCTTCAGCCCTGAGACGTTCACTGCTGCACGGGGTCACCCACCCACTTTTCTGACAACCTCCTAACGAAGTCCTTCTTCTCATGAAACCCAAAGCAGCCTCCCCTACTGCCAGAGGCAGATCGAGTATCGTCCTCATCCTCACACACCACTGTCCCCACCAAGTTTCTGCTTGCTAAAACTACACATTCCACCGCCTCATCTTTATTGATAGGACGCCTCACCACACATCCCCAGCCTTGATCAGCCTCCCTGGAATCCGTGGGCATCTGAAATCTGCGGGCTGGAGGAAGGGAAGGAGGACACTTAGGTTACTCAGCGCCAAAGTCTGCCGGTGGGCCGGGGGCCGGGGTGTGGCCTGTGCCTGTTTCGTCCCACAGAGCTCATCTTTGATTGTATGATTATCGTGTTTTGCAGATGAGGAACCAAAGGCCAAGTGAAGTTAAGTAATTTGCTATAAAGCTCACAAAACCAGTATAACTAAAAAATTTAAACCAAGTCTCTGCCTGATGCCAATGAGTATCCAGTGTTGTTATTCATACAGAAAATGGTTTATCTTTGGGCCGGCACTGTGGCGTAGCAGGTAAAGGTTGCCACCTGCAGTGCCAGCATCCCCATATGTGCGCCAGTTCAAGTCCCCACTGCTCCATTTCCAATCCAGCTCTCTGCTATGGCCTGGGGCCCATGCACGTGGGCGTCTCCCATGCTTTTCTCAGGCCATCAGCAGGGAGCTCGATTGGAGGTGGAGCAGCAAGGACTCAAACTAGCACTCTGATAACAAGATATTCAGTGATAGGGCTGGCTCTGTGGTGTAGCAGCTGAAGCACTGCCTGCAATGCCAGCTTACCATATGGGCGCCTGTTCAAGTCCTGGGCTGCCTCCACTTCAATCCCGCTCTCGTTGGATCCAGCTCTCCACACTGCGTGGCCGGGAAAGCAAGTAGAGGATGGCAAAGTCTTTGGGCCCCTGCACCCTGCACGGGAGACCTGGAAGAAGCTCCTGGCTCCTGGCTTTGGATTGACACAGCTCTGGCCATTGCAGCCAACTGGGGAGTGAACCAGCAGATGGAAGACCTCTCTCTCTCTCTCTCTCTGCCTCTCCTTCTCTCTGTGTGTAACTTTCAAGTAAATAAATACATCTTAAAAAAAAAAAAAAAAAAGGATGCCAGCGACACAAATGGCAGCCCCTGAGCAAATCTACTGTTTCAGATGAGCTCAGACCTGAACTGCTCTATTCAACTCAAAACAAATTCTCCATTGAAAGGAAGGAAAAAAAAAATCCTCAAATTTGTATCACCATTTGATGAATGGTTCTCACACACCACACCATGCTACACACACACCATGATACACACACACACCGTGCTTAAACCCAGTTGATATAGTGAATATATAAAAATAAGAACATATGCCAAATACAGAAATATATGTAGCACATACATTACCACACTTAATCACAGTCATTGCATGAAGAAAATATTTTATAATCCCCATTTTACCAAAGGAAAAACTGAGGCACCAAGAGATTAAATAACCTACTCATAGTCACCCAGTCAGGAAACACCAGAAGCAGAATTCACAAAACTCAGTCAGTCTAACTGGAATAAATCCAGGCTTCAGGCTTTCCAAGGAAGCGTATTTCAGTAGTGGTTTGTTTTGTCTTTATTTGAGGCAGAAATAGAGATAGACAGAAAGATCTCTCCCATCTGCTAGTTCATTCCCTTAATCCCTGCATCAGCCAGGGCTGGGCCACGCTAGAGCCCAGAGCCAGGAATTCAATCCAGGCTTCCCATGTAGGTGGCAGAGACCCAACGACTCGGGCCCCCACTGCTGCCTCCCAGGGTCTGCATTAGCAGGAAGCTAGGACGGGAAGTGGAGCCACTACTGGAACCCGGACTCCAATGTGGGATGCCGGTGGCCCTGGTAGCATCTTAACCACTAGGCCAAATGCTTAACTCAGTAGAGATTTTGAGCCTCATCCAAGTGTTCGTTAAACACCTCTTCAAGGCTAATTAGATACTCCTTCTGATGATTTCCATGCAGATGATAAAAAGGGATCAGTTAACCAAACAAAAACTATATTTGCAAATGAACCCAGAAATGTTAGACAACCTCCTATTTACAAAGCTAAACTCAACGACTCTGTGAGGAACAACTCATGCTCTCAGGAACACAACTAAATAGACAAACTGTTCAAAATCTCCTCCAGAGAGAGCAACTTCCCACCTATGACACTCAGCAGTTTACCCAAGAAGCCATCGGACTGTGAAACTCATGCATTTAGTTGAGAAGTATCTGCTGTGCACCAGATGGATTGTGGCCTTGGAGAGAGGTGATGAGTGAGATAAAGGTCAAGGGTATCTCTTCTGGAACTTCCGAGGCCAGGACGGCCGTGATGGAGAGCGAGCCGGTACCAGGTGAGAAAGGGAGCAGGCCCTCTGCAGAGGGGAAGACAGGGGAGGTGGCACCAGCAGGAGGCAGGCTTTTGAACGGACCTCGGGATGAGACCCAATGGGCACAAAGCTATGCACCCAGGAAAGAGGGGGCCAGTGTTGCTGGGCAAGCTTGCATTCAGGTGCAGGTGCTTCAGCAAACGCCTGCACACCCCACAGACTCTGCGGGCTCCGGGCGCCACCTGCAAGCGTGACAAACACTGCCGGGCGCTGGGCAGCCTCCCTGTGAAGCCCTCACCTGAACCCAGCGCATCTGTCAGTCAGCACCTTGGCCTGACAGTCGTCGCTGGAACCCACTTTTGGCTCTGAGGTGCTCCACATCCGGGTCTCCTGAGTTACCTGACCTTACCCCCAACTGGAAACTACACATCAGGTATGACTTCAAAGGGCTCACAGAAAATGAAATTAAAGTTATTTGGGTGCAAAATTTTTTTTTTGAAATTCATGCATACAGAAGGTCTTCAAAAGCTCATGGAAAAGCATACTGGGAAAAACTACAAGCGGATTTTAAAAAATCTTTGCACCAAACTAAACTTATCTTCTAATTCCACTTTCCAGGAAGCTTTTGAAGTTCCCTTGTCGTCTGCACTGGTCCTGAAGCAGGCGGTCCTAGTGTGTGTGCTCATGACACCCACAGAGATGCAAACGAAGGCTTCTCCACCCAAGGTCCCAGAGAGGACCTGCATCAGAGCATCCACATTGAGTGCGTCAGCCAGCACAGCAAACCAAGTGCCCGTGCCACAGCCTGCACAGGCCGGAGCCCTGCACCTGCAGGGACCTCAGCAGCCGGCGCCTGAGAAGTCCACTCCGCTTGCCCCATGCGACCCACATACAAAGAGCCATTAACAGAGCTACAGGGCACCAAGTCAGTTAAGCAAAGACACGGACTGACACACCCTGTTGGAGTCTCTGAGATACACTTACCCATGGAGGCAGTGTGACGACACTCAGTGTAACCTCTCATTCCACCCAATCAGCTGGCGGAGGAGGCTGGTCTGTCATCCACGCGCACGCACGACCCTAGCAGAGGGAGGCAAAATCACAGGGAGTGAGCAGCAGGCTTTCAAAATTAAAGCTGCTATAATGAAAGCTGCACTTCTGAGCTTGTACAGGAAGGGAGACTGTAAAGGAGCAATCAGAGGATAAGGATCTTCCCACATTTTTTTTTTTAACAGGTGGAGTTAAGACAGTGAGAGAGAGAGAGAGAGAGAGAGAGAAAGGTCTTCTTCCTTCCGTTGGTTCACCCCCCAAATGGCCATCACAGCTGACGCACTGCACCGATCTGAAGCCAGGAGCCAGGTGCTTCCTCCTGGTCTCCCATGGGGTGCAGGGCCCAGCACTTGGCCATCCTCCACTGCACTCCCGGGCCACAGCAGAGAGCTGGCCTGGAAGAGAGCAACCGGGACGGAACCGGCACCCCAACCGGGACTAGAACCCAGGGTGCCGGCTCCACAGGCAGGATCAGCCTAGTGAGCCACGGCACTGGTCGATCTTCCCACATTCTAATGAGAGAAGATTTCCCGTAACTTACTGGCTAAGCCATCTGGCAGGTAGATGGACGGATTGATGGAGAGGGGAGAAAGGGAGAAAAGAGTGAGAAAACAAACAGATATAGATATATATCAGACATAGGTGATAGAAAAGAGAGAGCGAGAGCGAGCAAGGCTACTGTGACCCAGCCGCTGCTCCAGGTGTTGGAAACAGATCAGTAATAGGAAGTACCAGATCCCCTGAGTTTCATTTCAATGGGGAAAAGCAGTCAAACAAACAGGTAACACAGACAACTCTCCCAGAGGGAGACACGCGGTGCAGCCTCACAACCAGGCTGAGACGGCGAGTGCCAAGCGGCTGTCCTCACAGCGAAGGCGGCGCAGACATGGACTAAGTTGGGAAATGATCCCCCAGGCAGAGGGACCAAGCAGAGCCGGCGAGACCTGGCCCGTCCTGACAGCCCTTGGGGACTGCGTGGCACAGTCCAAATGCAAGTGGGCTGAGGCAAGGCCAGGGCTGCCGCAGTACGAGCCAGCAGGTGTCGGGGTCCTCTCATTTCCTGGAGAATAAGGTCCTGTTCTTGCGTTTGACGCGCTGCCCACCAGTCCTATTAACATTTGTCAACATCCCAGAACACGCCTCCTTTCTTTTTCCCATTGTAAGGAGAGGGCCATCCTCTTGGACTGCACATGGAAGAGATGCCAAGTGCAGCCCCCACCTCTGCTCACATCCGGCCTGTGGGAGGGAGCTGCCTGGTCACCACGATTAGCCCAGCTGGGCTCCGAGGTCACGGGCATTCGGGGGCCAGAGCTGGCTTCAGCGGAGGTGGGCAGGAGCCAGGGTTGTTGTTAGGGGCCAGTGCTGCCCTCGCGTCCTTCCAGTTCCTTTGAGCCTCACCTGACACCATGTTCAAGGATGCCATGGGGGGGTGCCCTACCCCAGGCACCCTGTGGGGCCACTAGCCATAGCCCTCTGCAGCGGAGCCCGTGGATGGTCACTGTGGCGGGTGCCTCATTCCCCTGGGGTATGGGGAGCCCAGCCCTCCAGCACGTGGGCCCCCAGAGCACCACAGGCCAGGACAAGAGACCCTGCAGGCCTGAATGTAATCAGTTTTAATCCTATTTAAAGATTTTTTTTAATGCTGCATTTTAAGCAAAACAAAAACAAAGAAAGAAAATGTAGGGACCATGCTGTGCACAGCAGGTTAAGTCGCAGCCTATGACATCATTACCCTACTGGACACCAATTCTCGTCCTGGTTGCTCCAGTTCTGATCCAGCTCTCTGCTAATGGGCCTGGGAAGGCAGCACTTTGGTCCCTGGCCCCGACGTGGGAAACCTGGATGGGTGCTCTGGGCTCCTGGCTTCAGCCTGGCACAGCCCCAAGCCCATGGTAGCCATTTGCAGAGTGAACCATGGAAGATGGAGCTTTCCTTCAAATAAATAAAAAAATCACTTTTTAAATAAAATAACTGCTTCCAAAAGTGAGATGTATCTTTCTATAACATTACCTCCCCTCTGAGATGCAAAAGAAACAAGGAGAGTAGCCCTTGTCTGAAGCATTTGACCAGAAGTATTTCGATGTGGAGTTTTAAAGATTCTGGAATATTTGCACAAATTTTACTATTAAGCACCCCCTAATCTGAAAATCCAAACTCAAACTTTTGAGCACCGGCATTGCTTTTTTGGACTGGGCTGCTCAACCTGCACACTGTGGCAACACTGAGGTGCTGTGGGCTCCCAGTCCTCGATAAAGATCAAAGACTCCGGAGCCAGGGCACTAACACTGCGGCCCAAACCCCAGCTTCCCACAACCACCTGCGTGAGCTCAGTCAGTATTTGGGTTGGACAAGCCTCGGTTCTTCAACTGTACAACAGAATACCATCTGCCATTGCAGGGCCATTCTAAGTACTTAATGGGATAAAGCAGTAAAGTACTTAATAAAGCGGCTGAAACGTGCCCCTGTTACGCGGCGATCAATCAGCACTGGGCTTTCACTGGCATTCACTGCTGCTAGGAGAGTTTGAGGACCACAGTGACTCACGCTGCAGAGCTCACCTTCGAACGAGGCAGGTAGACATGACTTTCACTTGTAGGATTGCAGAATATCAAGCTGGAGCAGAC